ACTTGCTTGCAGGAATGTTGATTATAAAATTGTTTCGAACCTGATTGTGAGTTGTCAGGATCAGTTATACTACTATAAACTAAAAGCCACCTAGCGCCATCTTTTACTGCTGATATCATCAACTGATATTTTCCAAAAGTTGGTTTTGGCAAAAACTTGCCAACTTAAAGAAATGTTAAATACAAAAAATTAAAAAAACTTAATAAGTTATTGGGTGCGACTTGCAATGATAAATTTAATTATATTGTCAAAAGTTATTGTTGTGTACTGCTGAAACACACAAAAATGTGAAACTACTGCAGTCCATCCTGTCATCATTGGTCTTCCATCACACTACAAACAGTACGATAATGGAAGAGGATAATAAAATTGGGTTCTGTTAAGTATTTAAAAGGTATTTAAAGTCTTAGCTTAAACCTGGGTCCTGCATAAACCGCTGACATGTTACCTTGAGTACTTCACAGGTGGAGGCAGCTCCTCCAGGAAAGATCTTCTCGATCTTCACCACCGGCTGAACCTTCGACTCCATCCCGCCAGAAATACTGATGCCTGCAGCATCACGACAACAGAAGTCAGTCGTGTATTTCAGATTTGTGTCCCTGCAGCACCACATGTTTCTCTGGCAGTGATTTTTACTAACAACCAAGTTATGGAAAGCAGTACATAGTTCACCTACCTACAAACAGACAAGACCAAATGCACACTGATGCTGTGCAGCGTTATTCTGTCATGAAAGCTTCAAGTTGGCATCGGAAAAATCTTGTAATTTTAAAACACTGAAAAATTATGCGCATCCAAAAAAATTTGAATATTATAAAAGCATTTTTCATCCGTTTTTTAGAAAATGTGAATGTGAAAATTGAATATATATAAATAGATTCTAGACTCGTACACACATCAAGTAAAATGTCATAAGCATTTTGCTTTTTTAAGTTAGATAATTATGACCTACAGCTTCAAAAAAAAAAAAAAAAACTTTAAAATGGCAATTATCTGAATATTTCATTTTGACTTTGAGTAAATTACTATTCAGTTGGTATAAATACCGTGCAGCTCTTTGTCTAATTCAGTACACAAAACCACAATCATGGAGAAAACTGCTGACTTGAAAGTTTTCTCTTTAAATTGCTGAAAAGGCTGGCTGTAGGCAACGTGCTGCATCGAAGTGCATTCATTTACGTGTAATGAATATAGAGTATATATACGGAAGCCTTTTTAGGAATTAAAAAAAAATACATTTTTCAAAATATTCTAATTCTTTGAGATGCACTCGTGAAAGAAGAAGCAGAAAAAGTTTAGAAAAGCAAACCTGGTTTCGACGTAAACGTTTTGTCTGCTCACACATTAAATCCGACCTGATGAAACCTACTTACCCAGAGACTGCTTGGTCTTGGAGATGCTGACGGTTTGGAGCTCGTACTCCGGTTCAGGCTCGGTGCCGTTGCTCTCAGAAGCGGTCTGATGGCCGTTCATCTGTTCACTTCCCACCTGCTTACCAGAGCTTGAGCCAAACACCTGCGACAACAAGGGCCGACTCCTGCGAGCGGCGCTCTGCAGCGTAAACACAGAGTCTTTACTCCTGTCGCTGCTTTTCTCTTTTTTGCCTTGAGAGTGACCGTTTCTGAACTGGGGGCGTCCCCTTTCTGAGTTCGTATCTGAAGTGGAGTGCAGTGAAACCTCGTCGAAGTGGACGGAGCGAATCGTTCCGATATCTGTCCTAAGAGGAGGCCGGGAGTCGCTGCTGCGAGCCAGCAGCCAGTTGGGGAGCATCGGACTGGCAGCGGGAGGTCTGAGGTCTCTGGACTCTGTGTTGTATCCGTCCACCGGTATGTCCAGCAGAGGCGTGAAGGACCTGGAGGTCTGGGGTCTCTCCCTGGAGCCCCGCTGCCCTGTCACGCTCAGTTTCTCCAGCTCCTCCAGCAGGTGGCTCTCTTTCTCCACCTCCTCGGCACTGTGGAGCTCAAAGCCTCCTCTGTAATCTGGAGGGAAGACAAATGTAACATTTTCATGCTCAAAATGTAGTTTGAAAGGTTTTAGTACAGAGTGGGAAGTATGGAAGCCCACTTTTGCCAGGAAAATATAAAATAGAATCTGTATATATCTTCTGTTTTTGACATACTCAATAACTATAATGTCTGAATATATCACAGGTTTGACTTGACTTGAGTATTTTTATGTTTATCAGGCCCTTTTCTTTGCAAAAAATTGGCTTCCATATTGACAATCCCTCCCTCAGCACATGCTATCTAACTTATGTCTATATTTAGAAGCAAGAAAACAATTTCCAAACATCAAAACAACATTTTAAGGACTAACAAACAGTCAGCCTTAGGAAGAGAAAACCTGAGAGAACCCAAGACAAAAATAGTAATAAATTCACATTGAAACACATTTAAATATTATCGTAGTGAGCGTCCCGACCTGGGATGGGGGTGATGAGGCGCCGTTTGGGTGCTCGACCAGAAGTGGGAGAACGAAGAGGAGGAGTTCGAACTTCAAAGCAGAGACGAGAGGAAAATGGTAAAAAAGTATGAAATAACTGCATTTTACAGAAGAGAGCATTACTATCCATGTGTAAATTCACCATGCCTCATCAGTACATGTGAAAGCTGCACATTGTCTTTATTATTTCTTTATTTTTAGCCTTATTGTAATTCTTGTCCTGCTCCTTTAATGGCTCATTTGCATCCAGCTGCTGTAACATGTAGATCAAGTTATCTCATCTTATCGTATTCCATACATTTCTGAGTTGCATTAAACATTATTTATAATACAAAGGCACATTTTCTGAAAATCTTGAAATCTACATCATGTCAAAAAAAACGAGCCGTGGCTTTAAGAAGTGAAATAACACTTATGCAATTGTGCAAAAGCAGCTGAGAAAAATCTGTATTTTTTCTAACTGTTGCACGCACTTGATCGGTACTTGAGGATGTCGTAGGCTTCCACTTCGATCGCAGTCACCATGTTATTGAAAAGACTCAGATCAGAAGGAGGAAGCAGCATTCTGAGAAACAAGACGACATGACAAGAAAAGAAAAAATGTAATTAGTTGCCGGCGTGTCATTGTGAAACATTTGGATTTCAGCTGATTATCCTGCACAAATCCTTAAGCCCCTTCTGGCAGCATTTGTAACACCATTGTTTCTCTGCATGGATTTACGTGCCGAAAGATGTGGAGCACAGTTTATTTATTATGTGGAGGCATGAAGAAAGCCCTTAGAGTGAATGTGCATCTCTGTGTGTATTTGAGCTGCAAATTCAAGCTAATGTGGACTACATTGATCACAGTTTACCTAAATATTAATCACAGCATTAGTAGCTGTATTAAAGCAGGATTTGGAGAAAAAAAAGCCAATGGTTTTTCTTTACATATTCGACTCCTCGGGGCTGCAGGGTGGCGCAGTTGGCTAGCACTGTTGCCTCGCAGCAACAAGGTTGCCGGTTCGTGTCCCGGTGGGGGCACTGGAATCTTTCTGCGTGGAGTTTGCATGTTCTCCCTGTGCAGCGTGGGTTCTCTCTGGGTTCTCCGGCTTCCTCCCACAAGTCCAGAAACATGCTGAGGTTAATTGGTGATTCTAAATTGTCCGTAGGTGTGAATGTGAGTGTGCTTGGTTGTCTGTCTATAAGTGTAGCCCTGTGATAGACTGGTGACCTGTCCAGGGTGTCCCCTACCTTCACCCTAAGTCGGCTGGGATAGGCTCCAGCCCCCCCATGACACTAGTGAGGATTAAACGGTGTATAGATAATGGATGGATGGATTCGACTCCTCTTTACCTGACTTCTCTCAGCAGCAGCAACTTTTCCGGTCGGTCCAGAACAACCAGCAGGTGGCGTATCAGGTTCTCCACTGAGCGTTCTGCTACGTACTGCGAGAGTCAAAACAGCAGATCAGTGTAGTTTGTATTTAATGAAGTCGGCCTAATTAATTGTGTAAATTTAGAGCTGAAAAGTGAGGAATAAGGTTAAGACAAAGCTTCCTACCCGTCGGCACGTCTTCATCACTTCGGCCACCTCCTCCTCCGTCAGCAGCCTGCGGGCCATGTCCTCCACCACTCCCAGCATCTCTGAATTTGGCATCGCACCGGCACGTCGTCCCTCTGAAAACACCACAAAGTAGAATCAATGTTCTTTTACAGCAATAGGAGCAGATTTGGCCAGAATACAGACTTTAAAGATCTTTGTGTTTGTTTGGGGTCAACTTTTTTTTCCCATTTATTATTATCAGTAAATCCCATGAAGTGGATTGAACATTGACTGTGTAGAATAAAAGTGAAAGAAACATAAAGTTAGTAGGTGATGTCTGACCTCTGTGACCGTCCTGTTCTGCTTCAACAATTACCATGGCAACAACACATCAGCATCACAGCAGCGCCCAGCAACAAGAAACAGTCACAGAAACGCTGACACAAGCTCATTTAGCAATGTTGCCAAACCTGACAAATCTGTACATCATAAATCATCAGGGGCCTTCTGCTCCACCATCTCTGATTTACCTGAAACTTTACTATGAAAATGTAAAATGTTATCTGTGAAATTTCAGGTTTAGATTTTAGATTTCATTGATTGGCATTTAAAGAAAAAAAAGTCAGAAAGTTTAGGCTGTATCACACGATATTTTATACATATTTATACATATATTTTGCACCTTTTTTGTTTCTCTTTGCCAAGCTCTACTATTTGAGTCAAGATTAAAGTTCTGAGATGGACATGAGAAAACACTTTTAAAAACACTGCTTTAATACCACTTGAGAAAATGACGTTTTTACTTCAAGCTCTTTAGACGAACACTCTTTACTCATTACTGACTCTTTCAATCTTAAATACTGTCAATCCAATCATCTTCTGTGGGTATTTCTGGTCTTAACCCCTTTCTAGTATCGACTTTTCTATTTAGGTGTATATAAAATAGACAGCTAATATTATTGGTAGCCTTATTTGCCCATCACAAGATAAAAGGACTGTAGTTTAAACAGAATGTCCAAACAAAACGTTTATTGCAAAATCTTATGTACCTGCTGCCAAGAATAATTAATAATATAAGACCAAAATATATATTTTCCGCAGAAAACCCACAACATCTGATTTGGTACGTGTCATTTGAATCAGGATAATGAAATATTGCATGAGGTTTTTCCAACAAAATTCTGTCCATAAAACTGAATTGGAAGTTTTAAATAGAAGTTTTGTCTCACCTTCAGTGAATTACATTTTGTTTACACAGTTTTGCGTGAATTTATCCCAACAGCAGCCAGCGTCTTCATATTTACACGTCACATAGAAAGCCACCTAATCACCTGTTCACTAAAACAACATCTTTAGTGCAGTTTAGGGTGAAAACTGAAGCTACCTTTGCCAGCCTTTTCCACAGACGGAGACTTGGAGCGTCCTCTGGAGGTGTCTCTCTTGCGTCCTCCTTTGAACAGCAGGTTAACGAAGGTCTTGGAGCGCTGCAGGGTGCTCTTCTCCTCCGGGTCCTTCCCTTTCTGCTTCTTCTCCTTCTTCTGCTTGATCTCTATGACGTAACAGCAGCAGCCGGTCAGTTATACGATTTAACCATCCCGCCCTATCATGAACTTTCTTGTGCGTTCATGGCTCACCTGCCACTGTGACTTGGCTCTGCGACCTGCTGATGGGTCGGCTCGGCCTGCTGAGAGCCAGAAGCACCGCCGTCTTGGTCGACTCTTTCCTCCCGTCGCCGTCCTCTCCGCGAATCACCGTGTCTTTGAGCAGAGTTGTCGGTCCGAGGCTGCGAGTCGTGTCTGCGGCCGTCCTCTGAGAGGGAAGGTCCGTCTGGATGGCGGTTTCAGTTCGCTCCGACTCGGACCTGCACAGAAAAAACTCCCACAATCACCTCGAGTCTAGACTGCACATCTGTTTTCTTTGCGTCTCTGTAGAGCAATGAAACCATCCCAAAAGTAACACAGAGCAAGTAAAATGTTCTATCAGGGCTCCACAATTATGGCCAGAATGATAATCCTGATTATTTTCATCAACACTGGGAGCAGGATTATTTATCAAGACTATTTAATGATTTAAGGGACAACATATTTTACTGCACTTTCACATTTCAATGTTGCGAACATTCCTGCTAATGTACAAATCTCTGTTTCAGAATAAGACTTTAAATAAGTTTCTGCTTCACCTGAATTTAGTGCATCTGCTGGAGGCAAAACATAAATAAAATCCTACCTAAAACATCACTGAACATCTGCTTATAAATAGGTGCCAGAATTTACTAATGTTCCTTAAATGCCTCACACAACCTTAGGTCGATGCTAGCTGGGCAGCTGTCCATAGAGAAGTGTCAATTCTCTGCTCAGCTACTGCAGCGCGTCAAGTTAGACGGATGTTTAACAAAAAATTACTTTAAAGAGAGTAAAATAAGGTGCTTTACTCTCAAATTCATACACGCTAACACAAGTTATTTCACCTTCATGATCTAATTCTATGAGCAAAGCATGTTAAATGTCAAGTTGATAATGTTTATTTAATTGTGAGAAATCAAAAGCATGATTGTAAACAAAATTGGATTAATCGTGCATCTATACGTTCTATAAAATATTGTGTTGTTACTTCCAGTATTTGTTAGCGCATTTCTTTTCAGATACGTGATACGCAACAGTGATGGCTTCATCGATCTAGTAAGGGGACGTATTCTTTCATTCACATGCACTTCTCATTTCCATTAATGTTGTTCACGGCTTCATTCAAACATGACAGTGAAGGATTGGACAGTACATCAGTTAATACATACGACATAATAATGCACCGGTAAACAAAGACTAAATTTAAACTAAGAGCAAGCTTATCACACTGTCCAAATAACCAATAGCCTGGTTTACTTATGATTTCCTAAACACTGAAAATTCTGTCCACACTTGATGATAAACTAACTGCGAGTTTACCAACAGTAAAATAAAAATATCCTGCATGTAACAAATGATTTATCTGCAGCTGAGTAATTATTGCAATCACTTATATTGTTCTACGTGCACCACTGTTTGGTAGAAGCTCATATGAATCCTGCTGCTGTTTGCTGCTGCAGGTATTTGATAAACTCAGAGGAAAAACTCTTACAAACAGCTGGAAGCAACAAACTAAACTTCAGCGCCTGGTAAAGTTTGATGAGTTTCATTAATCTGAGGTGTTGGTCTCTGTCTTAACTGCAGTAAACTTTGATTTTTGTGGACATTTCAGTTTGTAATAGATGTGAAATCGTAGCACAAAGTAAATGAGAAACGTGTTTTACGATTTTAGCAGCAAACTGTCTTTTGCTTTTTTTGTTTTTGGACAAGTATTGGTGGTTAAATATGGAAAATGCCCTTCCTAAATCGTTTTACACACCTCAGAGTCAGTGAGTTGTGCATACCGATCGGCTAATGAGACTTGAGCCATGTTGAAAGTGTAACAGGAATCTTCCCATCACGACTTTTATGTGTTCAGATGCCATCGGATTAAAGAAGTGCATGTCAGCTTAAGATGATTGACCTAAATGTGGTTAAAAAAAATAAAAACTTAAAACAAATGAGCCGACCCTGACCTCTGGTCCTCGGTGGAGATGCAGACGTCCACCATGTCTGAACCAAACGGGAGGCTGGGAGGGAACATGACCTGCGATAAGCCGCTCAGAGAGCTGACCGGCGTCCCCGAGGACAGCGAGGAGGCTGATGAGTTGGAGTCTGAACCCTGGGAGGAAGATTTCTGAACACCGTTTGCCACTGAGGGAGAAAACGAAGCAACTCTTACCTAAACACATCACTGAGTATCTTGTGTTCGTCATAGATTGACTGATAAGGAAACAGGATTGCAGCTTCTCTAAAACATACGTACATTTATTGAGCCACCTATATTCTGCCACCATCTCCTTATAGGCAGGGTATCGTCCTGCTTCCTGTGAAGACATGGCCGCAGATATGCAAATGAGATACAGTAGAGATGCTGAAACTTTTATAGGATCGCTATATTTGATAAAGAGTAACTCTAGAACCGCACACAGATCCAAAAACACGCACCACTTCCTCATCCTGCTCAAAAGATAAACACATTGCCCTTCTCGACTTTCCAGTAACCTCTGACAGTCGGGGCTGCTTTCTAACTTTCGATTTCCACGTTGCATAAGCAAAAGATCCCAAAACAAAACTTGCACAAAACGCAGGCCTCTATGCTTTGATCAGCACCTGATCCCGGCCGCCTGGTGAATAATGCACACGGCCTGGCTATTTTTCACAGCGCGAAACCCAAGCTCCGACAAGTAAAGTGAGCGAGGAATATTACGACTGCATGCCAGCTGTCGGCCCTGCCACACACACCGCCGTCGTCGTCGTCGTCCGCCGCGTAGCGACTCGCGTGGTTTGCGTTTGGTTTGTCGTGCGTGTGTGAGAATTCAAGATGAAAGGTATTCAACAGGTCAGAGAGTTAACGCATGTCAGGTCATCTAACCGCGGCGGTAATGAAAGAGCCGACATGCTTTCTAATAACAAAGAGTCATTATGGAACGCGATACAGCCTCTTCGGCTCAACGTTCACACCGAATCCAACACCAAACATACCCACATTCAGCTGAGACGACTTTAATTCTGCTAACAAAGTGTGATTAGACGAAGGTCTTGTTAACAAACTGTGCAAAACGCACCCCTTTAACATTTGAATTTGAATCCTGGTGCTTTTGTTGGTTTTATATCACATCAAATTACTTTCTTGATGACTTTGGGTTATTTCTCATTTTGCAAACAAGTAATAAGCAGTTTGTTTGAACACTGTGCTCCGACAGGCTGAAATGTTAGTTTTTAATTTTTAAAAAACTACATTCATGACAGCTTCATTTCTGCACAGATGTCCTCAACTGCTCCCTGTATTTATTTCTGCTACATCTGTGACAGTTTTAATATAAAACACAAAACATTTCTGAACAAAATTCTTAGATTTCTCTCTAGATTTAATTCCTCTACATCCCCCTGTTACAGCTGAAGATATTGATCACTGAAAAACACTCAGAAACATTCAGTCTCTTTTAAATATGACGCTTAAAATGAACAAAATGCATCACTGTCATGTTATAATGTAGAATTAGCAGTGGGCTGTGCATTTACAGTAACATAGACACTAGTGAATTTGTTTAATTTACGCTTTTGTGCACAGGATTTTAAAAAGAACTCTTTCAGGACTTGCATTTAACAGTTACTGCATTCTGCACCAAAACTTCAATGATTAATAGATTATCTGATAAGTAATTAGAATAGAATACTTCATTTATTTATTTTTATGACTATCACATCAATCGACAAGTATTTTGATCAGTTTGATTAACAAAAAAAAGGTTAAAATTCTGCCTGCAGCTTGTTAAATGTTCATGTTTTCTGTTTTCTTTCTTCCTCGGTGACAGTAAACTGAATATCTTCTGGGTTGTGGACAAAACAAGACATCTGAGGCTATTTGGGAAACAGTGATCGACATTTTTCACTATTTTATAAACCCGACAACTACAAAACCAGGCAATATTTGACAGACAGAATTATCAGTACCTGCATCACGCCACCATTCTCACCTTGATGGTCAGCATGATGTGAGTGTGGCTCTTCAGCACCTCCACTGCACTGCTGTGGCTGATGTCCTCGAAGCTCACTCCGTTGGCAGCCAGGATCTGGTCCCCCATCTTTATTCCGTTTTGCTCAGCCAGACCGCCTGGATCCAGTCTGAGGCGACGAGAGGGGAGATTTAGAGGTGAAACCATTTACTGGTTTAGTTTATAAAGCACTTTTTTGTCGTGTACAGAGTTTAAGTCAATACCCATCAAAAAGTAATGCATTACTTCACCTACTTACTTCATGAAGAAGTATATTTGTTTCTCTACTTGTGCATTAGTTTTGCATCATTCACTAACAATCATCTGTTTCCACGCTGCCAGTCAACAATATACAACCTTACATGAGAATCTTTGCTCTTTAAACCTCAGTTACTCAGTGGTCCTTAAAGATAAAAACAGTATTTTTTTTCTACTGTAACAGAGCAATGTACTTTATTCTACATCACCCATGATCAGAACTACCAGATTTTTTTTTTTTAATTTTCTAGATTTTAGCCACTGTTAAAAATGAAAAAGAAAACAACATAAATATAAACTATCTTCCACATAATAAATGCAAAGTGGAAAATTGTTCTTTTTATGATAACATCCTGGGATGTGTCAAAGACTAGCACCAACAAATTGTAAAAGAGCAACTCAGACTTACAATCTTAATGACAAAAATAAAAAATTTTTAAACTTTTTAAAGCTATTTTAAAAAAATCTACATCAGTCATGACTACGACTACCAAATATTCGCTCACTTTTCAGGATATCAAGCCTTTAGCTGCCAGTTTGGGTGTCTCTGTTGTTTTTTAAGGCATTATAATAATAATAAAATAACTGCTTTCCATATTAACGGTGGCAAGAAAATTTTATTATTATTGATTATCACAGTTTAGGATGTGTAAAATTTCTAAATTCCTCCTACAAATGTACATAAACACAGTCAAAGTAAAGTTATCAAAAAAAATATTAAGAAGGAAAAAGGCAAAAATGCTTCAGTGAAGAAATTTTAGCTAAAAAGCTGAATCACAGAGTCAAAGTGGCACAAAGTAGCAGGGAAAATAAAAGTAGCTGTAACTGATGAGCAACTGTGCAACTGAGTAATGCATTACTCCAAACAGTGTTTGTATATTGCTGTAAATTGAATATCTTTAGGACAGTTAATACAAAGAGCAAGACTCCGAGCAATTCAAAATGGTGTATTTTAGTACTTTTGCAAGTTTATACTGTAAATGATTCATTAGAAAAATGATCCACAGATTAAATAATAATATTTTTAAAAAGTCATTATTTTGTTCCTTCAATTGTAACGAATGTTTTCATCACATCTCATTGTTGTTGCACAGCCTTGTGGAAGAGTCCGTTAGGATTTCGCTGCTTGAACTACATAAGCATTTAACAAACTGAATCTTGAATGAAAACATTTTCTGCAGCCTTCGTGAAAAAGTGTTTATGATTAGATGTTTTTAGTGTGTTGGGCAAAAAAAAACAACAACAAAGAAAATACCTAGAAAACATAGAGGAAGCAGCAGTATGTTACAATTTTGAGGAGATCATCAAGTGGAGCAAACTTCAATCTAGGGAGGTTTTTGTATTTATTTCTCTTTTTTGTAATCCTGTGTAAACTTTGGCAGATGTACCTACTTGGAGACGTAGATGCCCAGACCGAACTCCTTCCCCCCGCGGATGTTGAAGCCCAGGCAGTAGTCGTCCGAGGTGGTGTAAAGGTGGACGATCCTTCGGAGGGCGCTGCCTGAGCTGGCCTCCGAAGGCGTCCGACCGCTCTCCTCCACCACCATCCGCCTGTGTATCAGGTCCACCCTGAGAAATGAACAGCACTCAGCATCTTAAAGCTGTTATCAATGATGTAGACAATGAATAAACATCAACAGGAGTGTTCCTTCATCACCAGGTGGTCTTCTCCTTGGAGTAGCGGATGCCGGGGACTTTGCCGACTCGCCTCACCACCATCCGGAGCCGGTTGTTGCCCGTCAGGACCTTCACGGCGCTGCTCATGGTGATGCTCTCCAGGCTGATGCCGTTCACCTCCACCAGCTTGTCTCCTACAAGCAGGCCTGCATCCTCTGGACACAAACACACAAATACTGGATAAATACTACACTGTGGTCACAAACAGCAGCTGTGATGTTATTTTCCATACTTACCTGCCGTGCTGTTGTCCTCCACCTTGCTGACAAAGATGCTGAGTCCATGTTCTGAGCCTCCGCGGACACTGAAGCCGAGTTTGCCGTCGACACTCTTGTCCACGGTGATCGTATGAAGGTCCTCGCTGTCGTCTCCACCTGAAAATACAGGCGATGTGTCAACAAACAAACAAAAAAAGTCATTAAGTAAGGAGCCTACAACATGCAAAGGTTATAGATGTTGTGCTAGAGGAAGGAAACCGTAAACATCTAAGATTCCAGCATCTCAGATGTGAATATTTTCTGGTTTCTTTCTTCCTCTATGACAGGAAACTGATTTTCTTTCGGGTTTGTCTTTGGGTTTTGTCATCTTGGCCTTTGGGGAACAACAACGGACATTTTTCACCATTTTATAGACGAAACAAATAATTAATCGAACAACAAAAACAATCAACAGAATAATCAGCAATGGAAATAATCATTAGTTACCTACAGCGACTAATTCCAACTGATCTATAGCATATTGGATAAATGATTATTAATAAATATTGTTATTTCTGGAGCTGAAAATGGTCTATTGGGGGATGAGTCTGAACATTTTAAGAGTCCCTTTTTAACCGAGAGCTGCAACGTTTAATAGAGTAACTGAATAGTTGTCAGCTGGAAAACTAAATTGACTAGTTCGAGCAACAACAAAAAAAGGCTAAACTATTTAAATTCAAACCTTCTTTAATGTGAATATAGTCTGGTTTCTTTCCTCCTCTATAAACTGAACATATTTGGGTTGTGGACAAAACAAGACATTTAAGGACGACATCTTGGGCTTTGTGAAAACCAGACTATTGAGAAAATGATTATGAGTTGCAGCCCGAGCAGCAGCTTGAGGAGGAGCACAGAGTGATTCGTTTTAATGTTGGGATTTGTGTCTCAAGCATCTTCGAGGTTAAATGTCTTAAGCTTCGGTCTATAAGGTCTGGTGTGTTTTATGTGCTTCTTTTTACAGTTGCTACTCGTCCAAAAAGATGCAAAAGATAAATAAGAAAAGCTAACTACCATCAGTAGGAAATTTACAGTAACTGATTTGTCTTATTTTCCCGTGTGGTATAAATGTATTAAATTGACTGAACAACCTTTGACTTGAATCTGCTATTGTATTCATTTTAAATACGTACTCCATTAATTATTAATGCTGGAATTGTCTCAGGTGTTTAAGTCTTTTTTTTTTGATGGCTGCAGGCTTCAGTGTAAGATGTTGTGCTTGAACTTAACTGAATTACAACCAAGACATCAAACTCATTCATCCGTCTTCTTCAGTGTTTAATCTACAACAGACTGCAGATTAATTTGCGTCCCAGCAGCAGGCGATCCAGCTGCTCCTTACCGTCCACGGGAGAGTTGATGAGGATGACCCGACCCATGGGTGAGGAGGATCGGATTCCACGCCGGCGCTGCTCCTTCTTCCGTAGGAGGTTGCGAGTAGCCGTGTGTGACCCCTGGGTCCCGGGGTGCTTCTCCCTGCGGGACGGGTCTGACGAGTGAGCCATGGAGGCCGGAGGGGTCCACTTTCACTGGCTCTCCACCGGGGGCTCAGCTCCGGGCGGAGGAGTCTGCAGCGGCATATGGCGCAGACAAGGTGGAATAATAAACAGCTGCATTTAAAGCACACAGGTGTGAGGTGGTATTTTTAGCCGCCGACTCACTGATGCAGGTGGTTTGGCGACATGGTAACTGACTCTTTGGCGTCCTGGAGTCACAATTTGCTCCATTCCTGCCCATGTTGCATCTCTCTCACCTGTCGGAGTCTCAACAAACAGACAAACCACAACGTTTCAGTTCAGTTTTTTTATCATTCAAACATGGTAAACACACGAGGGAACGGAATTTGTGTCCCACATCCAGCAGCGTACAGAATAAACAACATTTTGCAGTAAATATCTCAACATCTAAACCATAATAAATACATAAGAAAACCAAGCAGCATGTAAATAAACTAATATTGCATCAATAACCGAATGCAGTAGAAGCAGAGAGTGCAGAGGACAGACTTTTAGCCAACGAGTTCATAAGCCTCATTTTGTTCCCTTTAGGTTGTTAACATGTTTGAATCACAATAAACTGCACTGAAAACAAACACAGCAACACAATGACACACAAAAACCTGCAAAGCAAACAGAGCTGCTGTTCTGGATTCTTTGACAATCATTCATTCAGCCTTTATTTAAACTCGGAGTACACTAAATGTCGTTCTGCTTCCTCTGTATGTCCTGCATATACAGAGAAACGGACAATAAAAATCTGCTATTCTATTGAAGTATGAAGGTCTCATTTACAAAATAAGAGAATAAAACACGTCAGCACACAAAGTCAGATAACAGTAAAAAATTTTTATAAAGTGTTTAAATAAACTAATAAATCAATTGCAACAAGTGCATCTGGAAGATAATAAAATTAAAAATCAGAATCGCCCAAAAAGGTTAAAAATGAGTCAAACTTCAGATTGCTTTGCCAGTTATTCCATATTGCAGCTGCCCAGTGAACAAAACAGGATTTTCCAAAAACAGGATCTGCAGTTGTGATCCCAAGCAGCAGCAAAAACATTCTAGTTATCATTCTAATATTAATTCTCAATAGTTTGTGCAATATTAGTTCCTGCATCATGTGTAGCATTTCATTTTGTGAGGAATAGTTCATTTTCATTTCACTTTTCAGGTGCAATATAATTTTTTTTTCATTTTTTCCCCATTATCATGTGTTATTACCTCTATATAACTGCCTGCATTACTTTTTTACTTTTCTCTTCTAGCCTTATTTCAGTATTGCATCATAATTTTATTGTTTTTTTTTTTAACTTTCTAGGCACTGCATTTCTTTACGTTATGTCATTTGTTTTTTTCTGAGCAATATTTGCCACAACTTCCTTCAGGATTAATAACATTTTATCTTATCTTATGATAAGAGCTGACATTAAAAGACAGTCATGAAGTGATGTAAAGGGCTAATAAAAACGGTAAGAGCCTCGTAAATAAATAAAACCTGGTGCATAACTATCACTAGTAATAAATCTTGGTGCAGATTATTAAATAGTTCGAGAGCTGCTGTTGATGCATGTATGTCTCCATGATCCAGAACTGAAAAACAAATTCCTTGTTTTCCTTTATTCCTTAAATTAGGGATGGACAATATATCTGTGACCACATCGGTATCGGCAGATATTGGTGTTTTTTCCCATATATCGGTCTGATGAACAAATTTTGCAGACGGGAAAAGCCGATGATTGTCTGACATTAACACCTTCATCTCTACATTTGATATTGCTGCTATTTCACAGATGTTTATACTTCAATAGTCGTGGACTTGAACGTTAATTATGTTAAAATATGTTAAATTATGTTTTACTTTTGTAATGAAGAAGACTATGTGGTGTAATCTGGTATGGGCTTCTTTTGAATAGTTGTAATCTCCTCACAGTGCTTACTTGTACTCATTTTTCAGTGTGAGCAAAAATTGAATATCTACATCGGTAATATCGGTTATCGGCGATATCAGAAATCTTAATATCAGGTATCGGTATCGGCCAGAAATTTTAACATCGTGCATCACTACCTTAAATGTTTGCACTACCTTAGATGATGCAAAATTCCCCACTCTGGGACTAATAAAGGTTGATTTGATCTTATTTTTAAAAGTTGCCTGAATAAGTGTATGCAGTGCAGTGGAAAATATAATTATTTTCTTTCAAAAATATTATTATTTTCTTTTTTTTTTTTAATTAAAAAGGTGATTTTTGTCATATTTTAGCTAGCACAAGCAGATTCAAGACTTTCAAAAGCAACATTTTTGTGTCTGGTTAAAATCATGTATTTAGTTTTGTCTACACTGAGAGCTAGTTTATGTTTATTGGGTGGAAATGAGATTTTTTAAAAAAAAAACTAAAAAAAAACTCCAGAAATCTGCTCCTATCTCCGTTGCTGCTGCTGTGAGGACAGAAACAGCGTTTAATTGGTTTATTTCAGTGAGGCCTGACCCACTTACAGGCAGGATGTCACATGGTGCCGGTGCCATGGCTACATGTCACCAAACTTAACCCGTGATGAGTGTCGTCAGCTCGGGGTTCCCCCTGCGGCTCCACCGCTCCAGCACCCTGGACAGCGCCGCTAAGAAGCGTCAAAGGTTGCGTCAAAAGGCCAAATATAGCGCACTTAAGCACATAAATATCGACCCCAGAATAGATTTAATTCACTTCTCTTGGTTTAAATCGCAACTTTAGCGTTAATTCCGCTAAAATATCTCACACTAGCGGAAGAATTGTTGACTTTTTCAGCAGTATCTGAAAAAAAGACGCAAACAAGCGAACACTTACCAAACATTTCAAGCCTTGAACGCCGCAACCAGCCAGTCAGCTCTTCTAATGTTCTCTGCTCCAATTAAAGCCACACAGACGACAACAACAACAACAACTATAAAACTCCAATTTAGTCTTTAAACTGAGGCCTGACTGTGTAAATGAACTAAACTAACCGGCAGCACACCTGAGTCCACTTTAGTGTGAAGCGTCTCAACGCACCTGGCTGGACATTGCGGTCATCAGATAAGCCCCGCCTCCGGTTCATTCTGATTGGCTGACGCGAGTGATTTGATTGGACAGCTGATGTGTCAATCAGCTGACAGAAGGAACTAAGAAAAGTCATTCTTGTCAGATAGAGGTGCAAAAACAATGCAATAACTATTTAATTCAGGATAGTAGAGCTGCAAGAATCCACATAAATGAACAGATTTAATAAATCAACTTTATCTACAGTATTAATCGTATTTATTGTGTTTTTTTAATTGTAAAATTGTGATTTAAGTTGGTTTACAGCATCAGCAAGCTTTGTTTTTATTTAACTTTAATAACCACCAAAAGCAAACCTCAAAATGATTAACTCACATGTTGATTACATGCAAAGATGCTCTGACAACATCTCACTAATAACAAAAGTAATAATATAAACACCAATGAATTTTAACCAGCTTGTATTTTAAAAATTCTCAAATTTATTGGCTTTCATTCATTGGAACGAGATCAGCTTTTTCTTCAAATTCCAAAATTCCAATTTCCAAAATTTCACACATGAAAGCAGACATCTCTCTGCTTTTTCAGCCTTTCAGCTTTTTTTTGGTTGGCCTGGTATTTATTCAGGACGTGGATCAGATTCAGACTAACTCTTTTTCATTCCAGGCTGTAGAAATCCTACACAAATAAAAATAAAAAATAGAATAAAGGAAGAGAAGTAATGAGTAGTAATGAATAGTAATGCATCTCAACAAATTTAAGGTTCACATACTAAAGAAGTTAGAAACCAAAGGTACAAATATGGATGTTCTGAAAAGATAAGTAACTCCATTAGCTCTATTAGATCTCGCTTGTATTATTGCAACAACATTTGGATATACTACTACATATACACACACAATCAGGAAACACCAAAGGCAGGATGAGTCAAAATTCAGAATAGAAAAATTCAAGTTTGATCACATCGTCTTCATTGTCAGTGAATTTAAAAAGACTGAACCTCAGTTTTTGAGCTCAAATGAGAGAATGAGCATCTGTAGTTTCCCAACAGCCAGACAAGTTACATCTTTTGACGTTGTGCATGTTTATACATTTGATTCAGTTTTATTTACATGGTGCCAATTTACAACTTAGATCATCTGAAGGCACCTCAGGTAATAAGATGAACATCTTACACAGAGAAGATCAATGAATCCAACCTTTTCCCTTTGAGCACGCTTATTCCTCTCAGGTGAAAAGTGATCTCTGATCGGCAGTGTATTCATTGTTGAGTAAAGATTAGTGGTTCCCAGTTCTTCTGCAGGGTGGCGCAGTTGGCAGCACTGTTGCCTCGCAGCAAGAAGGTTGCCGGTTCGCGTCCCGGTGGGGCACTGGAATCTTTCTGCGTGGAGTTTACATGTTCTCCCCGTGCAGCGTGGGTTCTCTCCGGGTTCTCCGGCTTCCTCC